GCAGGGCACTTGGGGCACACACGGGGCACATGCACGACACGGGCACACACGGCACACGGGGCACATGCTGCAAGCATGACACACGGGGCACACGCAGCACACGCAGGGCACACGCAGGGCACACACGGGGCACATGCACGACACGGGCACACGCGGCACACGGGGCACATGCTGCATGGATGACACACGGGGCACATGCGGGGCACACACAGGGCACACGCAGTACATGCAGGGCACACAGGGCACAGGGCACATGCAGGGCACTTGGGGCACACACGGGGCACATGCACGACACGGGCACACGCGGCACACGGGGCACATGCTGCATGGATGACACACGGGGCACATGCGGGGCACACACAGGGCACACGCAGTACATGCAGGGCATGTGCAGGGCACATGCACACATGGGCACACACAGCACATCCTGCACACATGACACACGGGGCACATGCGGCGCACACACAGGGCACACGCAGCACACTCAGGGCACACGCAGGGCACATGCACACATGGGCACACACAGCACACGCTGCACACATGACACACAGGGCACATGCGGGGCACACGCAGGGCACACGCAGCACACTCAGGGCACACGCAGGGCACACACAAGGCACATGGGCACATGCAGGGCACAGGGAGCACACGCGGGGCAGCACATGTGGGGCACATGCAGGGCACACAGGGAGCCCGGGTGGCACACACAGGACACACGAGGCACACGCAAGGCACGCGTGGCATATGCGGAGCACAAGCGGGGCACATGGGGCACGCAGGACACGAGGCACACGCAAGGCACACATGGCATACGCGGGGCACACGCAGGACACACATGGGGCATACGCAAAGCACGCGTGGCATACATGGGGCACACGTGGGGCACACACAGGACATGAGGCACGCGTGGCATAATGCGGGGCACATACAGGGCACATGCAGGGCACACGTGGGGCACACGCAGGACACTGCACAGGCAAGGCACATGTGGCATACATGCAGCACACACGGGGCACACGCAAGGCACATGCAGGACACGTGTGGCACATGGGGCACGTGTGGCATACACGGAGCACACGGGGGGCACACGCAGGACACACGTGGGGCACACGCAGGACACACATGGGGCACATGCAAGGCACGTGTGGCATACACGGAGCACACGCAGGGCACACGAGGCACACGCAAGGCACGCGTGGCATACGCAAGGCATGCATCGCACATGCAGAGCACACGCAGGACACACGGGGCACATGCAGGACACACAAGGCACATGTGAGGCACACGCAGGACACACGGGGCACACGGGGCATACGCGGAGCACACGTGGGGCACATGCAAGGCACGCGTGGCACATGTGGAGCACACGTGGGGCACCCGTAGGACACATGAGGCACTTGCAGGACACGCGTGGCACACGTGGGGCACACGTGGGGCACACGGGGCACCCGCAGGACACACGTGGCACCCGCAGGACACGC